CCCCAAAACCCCAAAACCCCATGTCTAGTTATTGGACAGATTTTGTTAAATTTTAGGAATATCATTCTCTAATATGGTGCTTAAGGATTAGCAAAAGATATATCAATAGTTCTATATTTTTTTATCTCTAGATTGTAAGAAATTTTTGAAATGAACAAAAGATTAGTAAGAAGCATCATGAGCAACAATGATATCTTAAAGAGTATTAAACCTTAACCAGAAATGTAAATCATTCACAGGAATATCAGGAGTACTGACTGCGAACATGGTATCAGAAAAGCTCTTTTAATTCAATTAAAAGCTTCGCAAATATTAAGTAATCAAATAAACTTCAAATTAAAGTAAGTTTTGAATAAACATCAATTTGCAATAATTTACATTCAGTAAATCCTCTTAAATGTATTGCCTATAAATTCATTTGTTTTCCTTTATCTTTAACCATTTAATTATTAGGCCTTACAATTGTTTGCTGTGTAAAAAACAGTACTACAGACATTACCAACTTGTCAAGCATACCTAAAACAAGCACCCATATTAATAAAATATTGAAAATTTGATGAGAGTCAAAATGGTTTCAAAATAGGATAGAATATAAGTTCAAAACCATTTTACAAATGAAAATATCACCGATTTAAAAAATGAGCAAATATTATCTATCTCAGAGAAAGATAGAACAAAAATGTAAGCCTTGGGTTTACAAAATAAAGTTTAATGTAAAGAAAGAGTTTTTGCTTCAAATGACCAATCATCAATGATTGATTCAAATGGTCAAAATTCTAATGAGACATATATAGCATCAGAAAATATTTTTGGTTCTTGCTTGAATTCACCTTTCTAAAGCAGATCTACAGAAGAACTTGATTGTAGTCCTTCTAGATATTTGATTAGCTAATAGGATCAATATTTGGAAGATTCGTTATCACTTGATCATTTCATTGAGTATTAAGATTCAAATACATCAATATAATTACTACCCTAATATTATGGATCTCAAATATTTGATTGAAAAATGTGAGATCATAAAAAAGGAAATCATTGTAATATTCGAAATTAAATATGATTTACTTATTCAGATATTAATTTAAATAAATTTAGAAATAATAATATATTTGCATTTTGGGGTTTTGGGGTTTTGGGG